ACTGCTTTATCTGTTGTGTCGGTCACTGCCAATTCTATCCTGCCAGCCATTCGGGCCAAATGCCTGAGTCAGTCTCCATCCCTCTCTCTTTCATACCTCACATTTAATCTAGCAGGGAAACTTCTTTTTAAAGTATACCTGAAGTCTCACTAGTTTTCACTACCTCCCTCTAAGCACTGTCACATACACAGTAACCTCCTAACTCTTCTCCCGGTTTCTGCCCTGCTCCCACCCTGCTTGTCTCCTTCTCAACTGCAGCCAGCGTGGTGCTGTTGGGATTCAAGCCATGTCACGTCGTCCTCAGCTCAGAACTCTACGGGAACTTCCCCCTTCACTCAAAAGTCAAATTCCTTACAGTACTCCACCGGTCTGCATTATCATCCCTCCCTCTGACCTCAGTACCTGCTCTGCCCGCCCACCGGCCGCTTTGGCTCCCTTCACATCGCCCTCCGCTGACCTCCAGCTTTCACTCGACCTGACTGAGAGCTCTTCCCCAGTAACTCCCTTCACTGCTTTCATTCTTGTTCAAATCTGCACTTCTCAAAGAGGCCCCCTTTGAACACCTTACTTAATACTGCAGTCTGCCCTTCCCCCCAACTCCCTACACTCCAGATCCCTTCTATCTTGTTTTTTTAGCCCCTCTCCCCTTTTTTCTCCCAGCATTTAATACCTTCTGATACATGGTTTACTTACTTTTTTTGTTTCTTATCTTTCCCTTTATTCATTAACGTGGTTAAGTGCGTAGAACATAATTGGTATTCAATACATATTTGTTGGATCCATGAGAAAGTAAAAATTTAAAAAAAAACCTGTGTAGATATTTAAGAATTTCTCTAGGATATGTATATTCTGGAGATATATATATATATATATATATATGTATTTCCTAATGGTTGCATTACTTTATACTCCTCAAAATGTGTAAGTTTGCATCACTTCATAGCCTCAGTGACACTTCGTATTGTTAGATTTTGAAATTTTCGTTAATCTGATGGGGCTGAAGTAGTATCATATTGTGGACTTAATTTGCATTTCTCCAGTTACTGGTGAGATTGAACCCTATTTTTTCTGTTTACATCCTTTGGGCTGCAGGGGAAGAAGTACTACGTTGAGTTTTAGGTATAATGACCTGGAGGTGCGGATAGGACACCTAGAAGATGTCCAGAAAGCATTTGGAAATCAGATGTAAAAGGAAAATCAGAAATGATGAGGGAGACAAGAATCATCTTCACTCATCAGTTATCTTTTTAGCAAAGTACGCGCTGTCTTCCTCGAAGACAGTGGTTTTGACACTTTGGCCATTCCTGACCCTCGAGATTTTTGTCTTATGCATGTAATATTTGTGTTCTTTGATTCAAATGTATAGTAAACCAGTAAATGTACACGTTGGGTTGTCTCCCTTGCTAAAACAGAAGCCTCCTCTCTGCTTCTAAAGTAACCGTATACTTGATGCTCAGCTTTATCAGCGTCTTTAAACTGTCTCGCTGTTAAAATATGAGCTCCTTGCTGATGTGTTAATTAATTAGTTCCTTCAGGTATTCTACGAATTTGCCTAGCACTGTGCAGGAAGTTACCGTGAATATGGTTGTGGTCAAAACAAACTTTCCTTACCCTCCCAGGACTCTAGCCTTGTTTCAGAGAAACCTTTATGTCTATAGTGTATTTAATACTTTCATGGCTGGTCTGTTATTTAATACTACTTATTACTACTTATCATGATAATTTATTGTAAGCACTGTAGAAAGTGCACAGTGCTGTGAAGCAGTTTAAGAGAGGTGTAATTGAGATGGGAAGTCAGGAGAGTCATCTCTGAGAGACTGACTGGCTAGTAACATACTATTTTATTTCCATCCTTCAATCAACAGTGTCTGAAATAATAATAGTAAATAAGGATATAGTAAAAGAAAATAACAATGATGAAGGAACGTTCACTGAGTAAACTCTAGATTAGCTGGAGGAATTCTTTTATAACAGCGTTTACACACAGAATTGTAAAGAACATGTTAACTTCCTTCTTTGAATATTCTAGTTAGGAATATTGAAATTATTCCAAATGTTAAAACTTTTTTTTAGTGGGATATTGTCCTGGTTTACTGTTTTGGTATATGGTTGTCCTACACAGGAAATTTTTCCTTAAAATTAACAAATATCACACTTGTATAAGGCTCTTTCTTTCCCATGGATACTAAATTAACCTCCCCCAACCCCAAGTATATCTTGGAACATAGTATCATTTTCATTTTTAAAAAATCGTGTCATTTTTTTTTAACTGGAATTTTCTTCTTGTCTGTGTTGAAAAGGAAAAGTGTACATTGTTACACCTGTAGCTCTTTGTGAGTTTTTTTTTCCCTCTCTCTGTAAGAATTGATAACTGGCACAGAAATAGTGAAATCTAGGCCAGTGAGCATCCGGCAACTGTCAGTGAGCTGAGCTTATAGAAGAGATGAGATTACTGAAATCCAGGGTACCCGGCTCTGAGAAAATGGAGCATAAGAAGACGTGATTCGTCATCCTTTTTCCAGAAGTTAGGAGAAGAGTTTAAAAAAAAAAAAAAGGAGATGATTCTTTGGATTTGTTTACAACTGGTGATAGAATATATAACGTGTAGGTATTTTTCTTCTATCCAGAATGTTAATTGAAGAGAAAAATGATACTAGTTTTCAAAATCGAAGTGATTCCTGTGTTGGTTAAGCACTTATATTTTCTCATCTATGGAATGTCTCATCCATTAGAGGAAATCTGTAGATTTTTTAGTATTTTGGAAATGATCTGTTCCTATTCTATTGAGTGGAGGGCTTAATAGTCAGCAAATGACTTGGGGTATATTAATGCCAGTCAGCTACTGAACTTCTGTAACCCCCTTTTGCAGATTTACAATGAGGAACAGAGGTAATAACTGGGCGGGGGGCGGGGCAGAGTGTCAGTATCAGGCGTAACATGGGATCAGCCTTGTTGCTCCAGGCCCCTCACTTAAGATCTAAGCCTTCACAGACATAGGAGGCAAGTAACGATACGTACCTCCGAGGACTGCAAAGGAAACGTTTCATCTGTGATCAAAAGAGATGAGGTGCTTCTGTTAAATGGGAGGATGCGCTAGTAATACAACGTTATACTACTGTTGTTTGTTGTTTTGTTGGCTTTTATGTCTAACCTACTAGCTCTGAATTCTGGTATGTCTGTTACCTCTCTGTTATTAGAAAGTCTTTTGTAGCAAGCAGTGCCTCTCAAGGAATTAGTTTCAAATTTATCACTTGCTTTTTTCTGTTTAGGTAGGTAACTACTGTGTTATCGCTAATAGAGTCTGGCATGCTGCAGCCATGCAATATGGATCCATAGATGTTTAGTGAAGCCATGTTTTAAATCACTTAGAATTGAAAGTACCACGTGAATCTTGGAGATGGAATTTCCACAGGACACAGAGAAAATGTCCGAGATAGATAAAAGTCCCTTGGTTAAAGTTCAGTACAAATTTGACAGACCCCTTTACAAAAGTTTGATGACGCGAAAATGACTTTTACATCCAGGGCACCAGAATGTTTTTTTTTTAAGGAACAAATATCAGTGAAATGCTGAATTCTATTAATTCTTTTTCTGCAGTGCCTCCAAAGCCATTTCATCTGCAGAATTCACCTTCGTCCAACATACACCAAACCCCCAGGCATAAAGCTTTATCTAGTGCAAAACCAAGGATGGAGGAAGTTAAACCTGCCTCTGCTTCTTGTGTCTCAAAAGAAAAACCCAGTAAGGTATCAGATCTCATCAGTCGCTTTGAAGGAGGCAGGTAAGAGCTAACTTACACTGGGAGAAGGCAGAGGGAAGAAGAAAACTGGTTTTTGAAAAATACGATAGTTATAGATATGAAAATTTAAAAATATATAGTGTTTTACTTCATTAATTTGGTAGACCTTTAGAAAGAGTGACTTTCTTAAATGCTAATTTTGCCATAATATGAATTGTCATTTATTACATATTACCTTCTCCCGTTACTGTGGCCCAGCCCTCTCATCACACGTGTGCTGTGCAGATCCCTGGATGTGCTCTGTCTGGCTTCCTCTGTGCATGTCACTTTGTCTGCATGTTGTCACCCCTTGGAGTCACTCTGGTGATCAATAGGTACCTGGGTTGGAAAGGCAAGAGCTTGTCCCTGCCTCTTTGTTTCTTGCTCTTTGTGCTTGAATATAACTCCTGTGGGCCTGTCCTGTGTCTTCTTTAGGACCCATTTTATTTAACGTGTGTCTTCTGTGTCCATTCAGTCCCTGTTTGCCCCTCTCCCCGTACCCTAGGTTTTGTGAAGAGGGACAGGCAACAGCAAAATTCATGCTAAATTTCAGTCTGTATTTATTAGATCCAATGTTATATTCTTTAGTCCTAATGTTTCACAAAAGGTAGGAGAAACGTATGTTTCTCACTTAAAGATAAAAACCAAACTTACCGAAGTTGCTCTTCTGTACATGACCCTCAATTGTTTCTCCTTAGAATTCTCGTCACTGACTTAAATAGAATTTTTAAATTTTTTCATCAGAAGGATTTTATTTTCATGTGTCACCAAAAGTCTGTGTATAATTAAACCACATACGTAACTTTACTTTCATCCTTGAAGCCAAATGTTTCCATTCATTCTAGCGTGGTACTTGGGGATGGTTTCCCAATGGGTGATTTCATTATTTATTTGCAGAATAAGGAGTTGTTTATGTACTGGATCATAGCTTGGAAGTACTTTAAAATCTTCTGGAAATTGTGACCAGCTACACCACTGCAGTGTCCCTCCTTTATGAGACTATATTTAGGAACAAGTTCTGGTGAAAAGTAGTTCAGAAGCCTGACTTCATTTTTCATTCTTTAGTCCATTATGGGAACCTGAGTCATACATCTGTCAACTTCAGCATTTCCTCTGAAGTAGGATTTTTAATACCTTTGCTACCTTAAATGATAGTCATCTTTACTAGAATGATTTATTTCCACTTAAATTTTTTTTTATTTCTCATGGCGAGTTGATTCAGTGGCACATGTTTGCAGATTCCCAGGGCCATCTCCAGTGACTGCATGATGTAAGGAGGGGCTGAGCCCTGACCCCTATGCGTAGTGCACACCCAAGCCTGGGTCCCAAGATGTGGGGGTGGCTTTGGGAAGCCCTGAATGGGTCAGTATTCCAAAGACCGAGTCCTCTGATCCTCACCATTTTGGTAACCTCCTCTCCATACACAAAATGTACAGTTTTCCTACCTGTTAATATCAGTTTTCTTTTACTCTTTAGAGTTAACAGATTGCAAGTCATTTTCTGATGCAGAGTTTGAAGGTTGGATCTAAGAAGGGGTGTGCTGTAAATGTGTGACATTTTAAGCAAACTTGTTCTAAGTGCAGATAGGATGTAAATGTGAGCATTTGGGCCAGCCTGGTAAACGGATGTTACTTGCGGCAGAATCCACTGCCAACTTGAAAAATAATTATAAGTTTTTAATGTGGTATTTCCTGTAGGAGCAGGCCCTGAAGAGTGTTTGAATGGGTTAGTGTTGCGTTGGGTCTGTAGGACATTAATGGGAAATGTGTATTTCCTGTTGTGATGTCTGTGTGCCCACAGTGTAGCTGTAGGGTTTTGCCCCAGTTGGTACAGCCTGATCGAGCACTTTGTGGAGCAGAGGGAGATTTGGCAGGCTCTGAGTTACAGAAAGAACCAATGTCTGTTGCAGTGGAGTTACAGAAGACCATTACCGTACGGCACTGTTAGAACCTAACCATGTGTCACAGTTTACTCTTTGCAATAATCTAAGTAACTCTGTTTTATCAAGAGTGATTTGGAGGATGTATTTGGAGCAAGTGAATTTTGTGTATTTATTTTTTGCTGTGGTTTCTTGTTCCTTTTTTTTTTTTTTGAGAGTAAGAGAAACTAGTATCTTTGACCTATGACAGACTTCAGGATTTTAGAGAGAAGTAAATAACATTTTCCCACAAAACTGAACGTTGTTTTTTTCCCCAGGACCCTGCAAGGCCAGCTGTTTCTCCTCATGGTTTGTCACCCACAGGAATCTGCTCCGTATTGATTCAGCCACTGCTTTCACTAACCTCCCCCCCACCCCCCTACGCATTGCCTCTGGATGGCACTTATTACAGGAAACCCCTGCTTCTCATCCAAGGCAGCCCTTTCCCCAGATCCAAAGTAAGCCCAACGTTTGGTTCAGAGAATCTGCTGAGCATCTTTCCACTGTATTGTTGGACGCGGATGTGGCCAGGGAAAGGAGGACAGTTTCATTTAAATCTTCAAGGGCTTTTGGGGAAATCAGGCCTAAAATATACTCTCCTAGAAGTCAGATATCAGAAGTCAGATACAGTGTGAGATTTATTTATACTGACAACCTCCAACTTTTATATGACATTTTCCCTACCTTCCCTTCCCTTCCGGTGGTGGTGAACTTCACGGTGCCTTTCCCTGTCCTTTATTACTTTCTCACTGTCAGTCATCATTCCCTGCGCATTCTGCAGTCCAGACCAGCAGTGTCTGGGAGGAGTGCAGTGAAGGGGGTGAGGGCGCATCTCAGCCCTGCCCATGGACCTTGCCGCTGTGCCTACCCCCGCACCCCTCAGGAGCCCTCACCCCGTGACCGCTGCCCGTGCTGAGGAAGATGTCAGCCCTGGACTTTCTTCCCGCGTTTCGTATGCAGCCTGATCACCTGCTCCTCACTCCATCTTTCACATTCCAGTGAATTATAATGTGGGGTTAAGACCACGGGGTTTAGAGTCAGACTTCTTGGTTTGAACACTGGCTTTAGCATTGTTAGCTGGGTGACATTGGCCACTTTATGTAAGTTTCTAAGCCTCAATTTCTCTATATAAGGTGGGGTCCTTTAGTTTGGAATTATTATGAGTATGAAACAAGATCATCAGTGTAAAGGGCTTAGTGTAGCTTCTGGCACTTAATAAATGTTAGCTGCCATTGTTGAATTATTGTCATCACCACCATTCATTATTTATTGTTTGCGGAGTATTTATTGAGCACTGTCACATTTCAAGCACTGTGCTAAGAGGTGGGGATAAAGCGGAGAAGACCAGCACGTTCTGTACCATCAGAGAGTATTAGTCTGTTTTAATTTTTCCCCTCGTCGGGTCATAAGAATCTCTTCAAGACTGCAGCCCAGAGTTCTGTGTCTCCTCCCTGGAACCCTACATTCAAGTGCTATATAAATACTTCCTTAGGAGCATTGTTCCATTTTGGCAGTTAAATTCCTTTGTACTATTAGGAGTATATATAATGTCAGGTAATAATAAGGATTTGAAAGAAAAATGGGATAGAATCTTGTAGACTATGATCAGGATGCTAGATTGAGTGTTTGGGGAAGCCCTCAGAGTTTGACCTCTGTGCCCAACTTAAAAAAAAACCAGATTGGAGAGGATCAGCGTGGAAGCAGGGAGAGCAGTTAGGAGGCTGTGGCCACACATCTAACAAAGCTTTTGAGAAATGTGTTCTGCTTTCCAAACAAAAATAACCTTTGGTTTCTAACCTGTTCATAAATTGAGGGCTGACTATACTTGTTTTTAAAATTTTTAAGAAAGTAAAAATCTTGAGAAAAGATGGCTTTATTAAATATATTTTTCACATCTAAGTCTTTACTAATTAGCCATATTGATAAGCAGCCCAAGGAAATATTCCCAAACCTGTAGGTAAAGCTCAGGCTTAGCATCTATATATAAATGTTTATTTGAGTGTGAAGAGCATCCCAGAAGACTAAGAACTACTCTGGAATATTCTCATCCATGTTTCTAAAGCCAACAGAGGGAAAAAAAAGTCTTCACTAAATATCCCTAAACAGCTGGCATAAATTTGTTTTTATTCTAGAACTTGTCCATGCCAACATTTTCATACTTCCTTTGTATTTTATCTTTTAGCCCATTATCAAATTACAGTGATTTGAAAAAAGATTCTGCTGTGAACCTCAATGTTCCTAGAACCCCAGGAAGGCACGGATTGACAACCACACCTCAGCAAAAGCTCCTCTCCCAGCGCTCACCCCAGAAGCAGGGACATAATCCAGACCAAGCTCAGGGTGTACAGACTCGTGTGGCTAACGGCGTAGTAGCAGCACAGAACCGGATGGAATGTGAAGAGGATAAAGCAGCCACTCTCAGCGCAGAGACTCCTATTCAAACTTCAGAACCCTCGCCCGATACCAGCTTAGTGAATGGAGAAAGAGAAGAAACAACCACGGGACCTGCATCACCCACAGCAAATCACTGCGATGGAAATGCTGATGACAGGACCCCGGGCGTCGGCCCAGCGCTCCCCCTGGGAGAAGGAAGGGCAGACGCAGAGACCAAGGTGCAGGAGAGGGAAAACGGAGAGAGTCCCCTGGAGCTGGACCAGCTGGAGCAGCACCACGAGATGAAGGTAAAGGAGTGAGCACTGCCTCTGCCACTGTGGTTTGAAAACTCTATTTCATAGCACCCTGTAACGAGTAAGTCAGATCACACACGGGACACGTTCTTGGTTCAAAGGTGCGGTATAAGCATTGTCAGAGTTCCCTGGAATGGAAAGCTGGTTACATTTCTGAAGATAAGAAAAATTTGCCTGTTATTTAGTCTCTTTTCGATTATAAATAGCAGTCTGTGTAAGAGAGTTGAGAATTGAAAATTGGTCCATTACAGGAAAATGTGTAAGTGACAAATCCAAGTCCTAAACACAGTGAGGATTTTTTATGGTGCTGTGTCTTAATTGGCATTAACACAGGCAGGAATGAAAAAAAGGCTAAAGCTAGAATGTTAAGAGTGAAAAATGATCGACTGGCGTGGACAGAACTTCAAAGTGAAATCCGTCCTCTGGTTCCGTTTATAGTGATCCTGAAAAACAATCGCAAATAGCCAAGGAGCCAGTGGTCTTTTTTCTTCTAGTTAGTGAATTAATTTTAAATGCCGACTCTCAAGCAGAGAAAGTTTAAATGAGGAAGTGGGTGGGGGAAATTGAGTCATACTTGGTAACATTATCTGAAACAGTAAGGAAACAGGACTTTTGCAGAGTGACTCTCTTTGCAGCTTGATCTAGTAGTGGATGTTAGCGTCTCTGAGCTTGAATCATGGTGAACAGAAGAGAAGTTAAGAACCAAGGACCTCAAGACTCACATCTGTCCTTTTACAGTTGGGATGATGCCCCCAGCAAGTATTTATGAAACAGTAAGAGCTATTCTTATTAAGGGAAATACTTTCATTGGTGCTGATGCCTGTGGTTGCTGGGTGCCTCCTCTTTTTACCCCTGTTGTGTATTATTATGTACACATTTCATAAATGGGTCTTACGTGGTTTGGCAGAGACTTGAAAGGGCTTTCCTGTTAAGCTAGTGAAACGCAGAATGGTACAGCTGTCTTTCTCCTAAATGGGCGTTTAAGCAGTGGTTGGCACGTGCTGTATGTGGGAAGAAGAAGGAAATTTCCTCTGCAGAGCTACTGATCCAAACCCCACGTGTCTCTCATCTGAGAAGGAGTATTAGCGTTTAATTTCTACCGGGTGACAAAGTGTTCGCCTTTGCTGCTGTGATGCTGTTACGTTGCCTTTCCTTGTTCCCAAATGCAAAGATAAATGTGAACAGTGTTAAGATGGTAAATTTTATGTTGTCTGTTTTACTGCAATAAAAAACAAAACGTAAACTTAGAAAAATCAAGAAGTTAGTAATGTACAGCAGACCAAACTATTGGAACCAGGAAATCTTGATGCTACTTCTGGTTTGTCCACTAACCAGCAGTGTGATGTTGAACAAATCATTTAAACTCCTTAATTAAAGGATGCTAAAATTATTTAAAAAATATAAATGGAGTCTGATCTTGAGGCCCTTTTTAGTGATAATAACATAGTAATTCTATGCTGTTATATGTAGGTATATTCCTTTGTTAGCATAGCCCTTCAGATCACCAGGTGTTTCTCACACTGTCTAATGTGCTGAACTTCTAAGACTTCCTGGAATATTTTGAGTTTCACTATGTAGACAGCTGAAAAAAGTTACTTCAATCTTTATATAACTCACTATAGAGATTTACATCAGAATAGTCATAGTAAGTTCCGTTTAAACCAGAATTAAATCTAATGGGCATTTCCTAAATTGCCTACCAGAGCTGGGGGCTGGAAAGTAGGCGTAGAACAGAATTGCAAAGATGGTTGTAGGAAGTAGACACATATTAAAGTATATCCTGAACAGTCATTATTAATGATTGAGTACTGGCTTGGAAATAATCTGTTTGTGTAGTTGTTTCACTGATTACCTGACGTATTTTGATCAAGGATCTCTTTCAGTGGTGAATGCAGAATATTGTTATTTTTGCCATGTAAGAGATAAAGAAGACCTACCTCACTGCAATTATTGACTCTGCTGTGCCTTAGCAAAGCAGCACTTTGCCAGTGTTTAAACGTTTTGCACCACCAGTGATCTAGAATATAGCCAGACACCTCAAAGCAAGCAGATGTTCTTTAAGAACCTCAGAATCGAAGAAAAATTTTAGCACCTTATGATGCCTTTTGGTCTCAACCGCAGAGTGTTAACAGTATCTTTAGGTTAAGGCTAATCAGGTATTACAGCAGATTACAAGATTGAAATCTACTGAAAGGAAGATGTTATTATAAGGAAACATACTAAAGCCCGTAAATTACAGGAAAGTTAGGGACCAGGGACTATCATAGTGTGCATGCATGTGTCCGCTCAGGCTTGGGTACTCCGGAGCATCAGGGGATAACAGTTACTGTTTGGCATGACAAATTTGGGTTATCATAAGTAGCTTAAACTTTATTAGGAGACTCATGTAAATGGGCCAAAATGGATTAGAATGAATTTCACTAAAAATAGTTGTCTTTTCTCAGATTTGTAGGTGTCAGTGGTTAAGCTTTAGCAGAGATGCACTGACGTGGACTGCTGCACACACTGATTATGCCATGGAAATTAAAACCTCTGTGCAGTTTTTATGAGCCTTTTTAATATCTATTTAATATTATATTTAATGAGTTGCACTGGTAGATCTTTTCTGAGATTGATTCAAAGTATTTCCTTCTTCATTTCATACAGCAAGCTAAATATAAGTGTATGGATGTGCACTTTTTAAGACTAACATTTATATAAGTAACAAATCTGTTACTGGCAACATAAGCTTGAAGTAGCAATGTATTAAAACTCTAACAATAACAGTTTTATCAAGAATATAAAAGAAACAGATTTTTCTAACAGTTAACCTTTCATTTCATCAAAAATGAAAGCAATTATGTAAAGAAGTGGGGGGAATAGATGATGGTGTTGTCCACAGTGTAGAGATTTATAGAAACAAATATTTTATATATATTTTTTAAACTTAAGTGTTTGTTTCCTGCTTATTTGTGGCTTTTTTCATTGCCATTTTACTTATTATATTTTTAATGTAAGTCTTGAGGGTTTACTACTTTTGAATATACTCAAAAATTAAGAAACATAATCATCTCCTAGGCAAAAGAATGACAGATGATCACATTCAGAAGTAAACTGCAAGTAAATTGCAAATAGAAAACCAGTGCTGTAATCCAAGTTAACTCACTGTTCCTCTTTTCCCTTCAATTTCTCCTCACTAATTGTAATTCTTAAAATTGTTGATTAATTGTATAGGGTGTAATATGAGTTATCAGAGTTTCCTGGGAGTTAAAACATAATGCTTACCTTGGTTATCTAATTCTTATGATGGACTACAAGTTTTTTTAAAAAATAAAGCTTTAAATCTCTTTTGGTTCACTTCTTGAAAAATAAGGGGACACCTGTTGAGTTCTTGTTAGATTTGAGGGCAAATAGTAAATTACTCCTTCATTATTTCTTCTTTTGCCAAATCAGCTTTAATTCCAAGAAGGCGAAAGGCAACACAAGGAAAGAATTTATCCAGTTTTCACTAGTCAGTCTTTCATTGTTGCTAATATCATAATGAAAGCTCCAAGTGAGGTTGTAGGTGTTTTAAAATGATGTGTAGGGTAATGGAAAAGTTTCCACACTAACCACCTGGATAGTTCATGAAAGTATTGAGGATGGCTTTTCTTTATGGGGAACCCAGAACTTCTTTATGTTGTGGTGACTCTGTTTAGTATGTTAGAAAGATACAAGAACGAGAAATGAGAAAAAGTGAACTCCAGAGAGACTATATGTGAGAAAACTAACCATCGTTCACTCAAAAAATTCAGTGTGCAGGCTCACTCTCCTAGGTTCTAGAAGCAGAAATGAACAAGACAAGCCTTCCCCATAGTTTCAGTCTCCAGAGGAGAAAGAGGCGTCAGTAAATCACGCTGTTGTGGCGCAGTCCGTCCTTGGGAAACACAGATGAGGAAACAGCTGTCCTGGAGGAGGGCTGGTGAGGGGCAGGCTGCTGAAGAGCAGCGGAATTGGGCTTGAAGGAAGAGTGGGCAGTGCTGGTGGTCCAGAGTAGACGGGAAAAGGGAGGTGGGGAAGAGGAACGCGTCTGGGCTGAGGGCAACTGTGAGCAGCAGAAACAGGAGGGTGGCTGCCATGTTTAGGGGTTTTCTGGCCTCATAATAGAGGCTGGAAGGGCTAGAGAAATGAGTGTGGGGGTAGAAGGGGCTTAAAAAGAAAATGGAAAAAAAAAAGAAAATGGAAGCAAACGACAAAGTTCAGTGGGTTTGTGTGCCTAGATTGTGTTTTTTTCCCTTGAAAGCAATGGAAACTTTTTCAAAAGATTTTTTTTAAGTCTTAATAAAAAATGAATAATCCTCATAGAAAATCAAGAAAGTGCAACAAAACCTAAAGAATACAAAATCGCTCCTGGCTCCGCCCCCAGAGAGAACTGCTTTGATATTGAACATTCCAGCTTGTTTTTCTCAGCTGATTTTTTTTTTAAAAACATTTTCAGTAGCATAATGTATGGTCAGTCTGCATCCTGTTTTGTAGGATTAAACGTAGGTATTTTCCCATGTTATTTCAAACTTTCCATAAGCTTAACACTGCCTTGGCCTCAGAGGCACTTAATTAAAGCATGGAAGTGACATGATTATACATCCGTGGGTTTTAGAAAAATGAGTCAGATAAAAGGAAAAGCAGACGCAGCAGGGTCCATGGTTAGTGAGCAACTGCAGTGGTCCCGGTGTGAGAGGATGAGGTCCTGGGACAAGGGAGAGAGGTTTCTGAGGACTGTGTCAGATGTCAGGAGTGAGTCATGTTCAGCTCCTAGCTTGGCTCAGGTAGCAGCTGGTGTTCCATTTACCAAACTGTAAGAGAACAGGACAGTATATTTGGAGGGAGAAAAAAATTAATTGGATTTAGACATATGAATTTAAAGGACTTCTGAGATATCCAGGTAAAGATATCTAAAACAAAAATGGAATATTCTAGAGACATTATGGGCTATTGGTTAAGGATCAAGGCTTTCAATATTAAAAGAGATGAGTTCA